GCATAAGTAGGCCATGTGTGGTACGCGTAGACGGTTTGTTACAGCTCTATCAGCTACTGCTCCTAATATCAGCATCGGATTACTAACAAACACCGAAAGTCAACTGTGGGAAGGAAGGAAGAAAGAGGGTGAATGAGGTCGATTCAGTTCCACGGCACTCTCGCGCATTTCCTACTATTGTAGATACGGCGTGCTCAAATCTGCCATGACGCGCCAAGATTCATGGGTTAAAAGGTTGGGGATAACCTGATCCTTCACAGGACTGCTATTTGGGCTGCAATGGTTCCTCCTGAAGGTGGCATTTATGGCATGTCCACTCAAATAAAGCCCGAGCCGCACTTATTGTGGCCTGGTATATCAAGAGTGGGGACCAATTTGGGCGTATGGCACGTGTGGTCGGGCCATTTAGTTTTTTTCTCAATCAAAGCTTTCATATCCACCTCCGGTCGTTTTGAATTTTAATTACCCTCAATGCAGAGTGGGGGGGGAGAAGACAGTACAGGCGGTGCTAAGAAAGTAGCACTGCAAGGCCGTGCTTTGTGCGGCACATGTGTTCGTGGGCCGGGTTAAAGACAGAATTAACAACAAGATCCTGAACCCTGTCTGAATAAGTACGGAGGGATCGGTATAGATGCAAGAGAAACAGGCAAAACGGTGGTACCTGGGAAGCGGGTCAAAATTGAGAATGAACTTCAGGATCTCGATCTTTTGGGCATCGGGTAGGTTCTTTGCAAACTCCGCAATTGTGTTTATAATGGTCTCCTGGAAACGATGCTCTTCTGCGGCTGCCACCTTGGCAGTCTTTTCGATGCTCGATCGCAGAATCTGTTGTGGTGAAGACAAAGAGAAGCAAGAAAGGAGAAGGGGAAAAGGAATCTTGAAAGGTCATGTGAATTGTTAAACAGAAAATGGCTCTTCATTTCGACACCCACAAGACTGGTTTGAAGCAATCAATGAAAATAAATGTGGAGCCTATCGTGAGCAAACAGAGTCCACACTCGACTAAGAGCTACCTGTGTGACGAGGGAAAGGCGCACAAACCCGGCTAGCGCGTTGATAACGCAACCGAACGTTTCCAAAGGACATCATTCTTGCGAGACCCTTGCGATTATAGCAGTCCCTGTGCTTAGGTAAAAGCAGTCTTTTGCGGCCTTAAGATCAGGGCCAGTGCACGAGTCTGACTCTGAAATGGTGCTTGAGGGGTAACGCCCAAGTACTCAGTCGATAATTATATTAACACCAGCGGCATGTGGAAAGCTATTTTTATCCAGGCTCCATAAACACTCGCGGGTTCATCACCGTAGCTGCTCACTAAAGACGCTAATACGTGAATGAAAGGTGACGGAATGTTGATGCGGAGAACACCCAGTACGGGGGGGGGGT